GCCACAACGCGCCCGGCCATTTTTTGGTTGCAGCCATCATTTCGTTTGGCGGGCCCGGGCTGGGGATTCGAACCCACCACCTTAGGTGTACGTGGCTGGCGCCCTAGCCGCTTGAGCCACAGGCGCCAAGCCTACATAAAAATTTTTAAATTTTAATGTTTTTGTCTTAATGCTTCAAGCATGTTTTCCTCTTTATTACCAAATATAAGTTTATGTGAGGTTAGTTCCGTATTATCTTCTGTGTATCCAACACCATGGTAAAGAATATGTCATATGCAGGAGAAAACAAAAGAATACATGGTCCCTGCACGCTGGAAGCTGATAATCAGTTTGAGGAATGGAAGCATCTGGATACACATGATGTCTTGTTACTGACACATCACTGAATGGCCTGATTTTGAATATAGCGTAGAATTCTTCTATCTTCAACATAAGATATTCTTTTTTGACAGTTTCAAGCTGTTACCCTCAGTAGGGTGCTGTGGTGTCATACACAGCTCACAGCAACCTCAAACTCTTGGGCTTAAGCAATTCTTATGCCTCAGCCTCCCAAGTAGCTGGGACTACAGGCAGCTGCCACAATGCCCACCTATTTTTTGGTTGTAGTTGTCATTGTTGTTTGGCAGGCCCAGGCTAGATTTGAACCCGCCAGCTCTGGTGTGTGTGGCTGGTACCCTAGCCACTTGAGGTACATGAGGTACAGGTGCCGAACCAACATAAGATATTCTTTTCTTTTTAATTTCTTTTTCTTATACATGTGTATATTAGGTTTTGACTTTTGCCTTCAACATAAGATATTCTTAAATAGCCAAATTAGTTTTTGCTTTCTCTACCCAAATACATAGATTGGTACCAAAGATTGTCTTCAAACAGAAGAAAAACAGATCAATATTGGAAAAGTTGCAAAATATTACCAGCAATTTCAATTTAATATTAAAGTTTAGTATAAGCATCTACTTTGTGCATACAGCTTTGAATTTTTTAATTGTTTTTTCCATAAATGGTGTGATGTGAGGAAATGGGTAAGACAGATGATGCTTTTAGAAAACAGGTCCTGGCTCGGCGCCTGTGGCTCAAGCGGCTAAGGCACCAGCCACATACACCTAAGGTGGCGGGTTCGAATCCCCAGCCCAGGCCCACCAAACA